CCAGTTCTTCCAGTTCCCTCCCAGTTCAGCCCAGTTTGGGCCAGTGACCCCTCCCAGTGCTCCCAGTAACCCCCAGTGCCATCCCAGTCACTCCCAGTTCATCCCAGTATCTTTCAGTTCCCTCCCAGTCCATCCCAGTTCCCTCCCAGTTCAGCCCAGTTTGGGCCAGTGACCCCTCCCAGTGCTCCCAGTAACCCCCAGTTCCTTCCCAGTTACTCCCAGTCCCTCCCAGTTCATCCCAGTTCAGACCAGTGATCCCTCCCAGTCCATCCCAGTTTGTCCCAGTAACCTCCAGTTCCCTCCCAGTTGCCCCCAGACTCCTCCCAGTGCTCCCAGTTCACCCCAGTGACCCCATGACCCCTCCCAGTGCTCCCAGTTCCCCCTCCCAGTAACTCCCAGTAACCCCCAGTCCATCCCAGTCCCTCCCAGTTCATCCCAGTTCAGACCAGTAACTCCTCCCAGTTCCCTCCCAGTTCTCTCCCAGTTGCCCCCAGACTCCTCCCAGTGCTCCCAGTTCAGACCAGTGACCCCTCCCAGTTCATCCCAGTCCCCTCCCAGTGCTCCCAGTTCCCCTCCAGTCCCATCCCAGTTCATCCCAGTCCATCCCAGTTCTCTCCCAGTAACTCCCAGTTCAAACCAGTAACTCCTCCCAGTGCTCCCAGTTTACACCAGTAACTCCCAGTCCATCCCAGTTTGATCCCAGTCCCTCCCAGTCCATTAATTAACAGCTTGGCTAATTAACAAAACCCCGTTAATTACCCCATAATTAATTAAATTTCCTCTTAATTAAATCCCCACCTAATTAAATCTCAATTAATTAATTCTATGAACCCCAATAAACCCCAATAATTTTTCACCAATTCATTAATTAAGGTCTTTAATTAAACCCAATTAATTGGTAAACACCCCATTAATTAGCACATCCAGGAATTAATTAATCCATTCCATAGGTAATTAATATTAATTAAACAAAATACGTTTCATTATCTGGAATTAATTAATTGTAATTAGGGATTAATTAATCCTTTCAGCAGCTAATTACCCTTAATTAAAGCAAATTAATTATTGTGAGTTAATAAATGGTAATAATGGATTAATTAATCACCCTCAACCACTAATTAAGCCCCAATTAATTTCTATTAATTTATTTCTATTAATTATTACTTTCTATTAATTCATCACTTTTTTCAGTAGCTAATTAGGTTTAATTTAATTAATTTCTATTTATTCATCACCCTTTCCAGTAGATAATTAGGCTTAATTATGTTTAATTAATTTCTCCTTATTAATCACTCTTTCCATTAGCTAATTAGGCTTAATTAATTATTTTCTATTAATTAATCACCCTTTCCAGGAGCTAATTACCCATAATTAAGTTTAATTAATTTCTATTTATTTATAACTGTTTCCAGTAGCTAATTAGGCCTATGTAAATTTAATTTCTATTTATTAATCATCCCTTCCAGTATTTAATTACCCTTAATTAAGTTTAATTAATTTCTATTAATTAATCAATCATCCTTTCCAGGCGCTAATTACCCTTAATTAATTTCAAATAATTAATCATCCTTTTCAATAACTAATTAGAGTTAATTAACTTATATTTATTGACCATCCTTCCCAGTAGCCAATTACCCTTAATTACCCTTAATTGCATTTAATTTCTCTTAATTAATCACTCTTCTGAGGAACTAATTACCTTTAATTAAATCTAATTAATTTCCATTCATTAATCACTCCCGAATAATTAATCACCTTTTAATTACCTTATTACCCACCCCCACCCATTAATGAAGCCCCAATTAATTAATTAACGGCTCCAATTAACGATTTTTTTCCTTTATTTACCAAAAAAATCCCCTCAGGCCCCGCCCCCACCCCACAAAAACCGCGCCGGGGGCGTGGCCAACTCAGACCACGCCCATTTTGGGTCAAGCCATGCCCATTTCGGTAAAAACCACGCCCATTTCGGGTTAAACCACGCCCACTTCCGGGTTGGAGGTGTCCATTTCCGGGTTAGGCCACGCCCCCGCCGATGGCGCCCCCTGGCGGGGCGGAGGAGCGATGACGTCATTTCTCCTTCGGGGGCGGCCTGGGGGGGGGGAGAGAAACCAGTAAAAACCAGTATAGACCAGTATGGACTGGGATAAACTGGGATAGACTATGATAAACTGGTAAAAACCAGTAAAAACCAGTATGGACCAGTAAAAACCAGTATAGACCAGTATGGACCAGTATAAACCAGCATGGACTGGGATAAACCGGTAAAAACCAGTATAAACCAGTATGAACCAGTATGGACCGGTATGGACTGCTATAAACCAGTATAAACCAGTATGGACTGGGATAAACCGCTAAAAACCAGTATAAACCAGTAAAAACCAGTATGGACCAGTAAAAACCAGTATAGACCAGTATGGACCAGTATAAACCAGTATGGACTGGGATAAACCGGTAAAAACCAGTATAAACCAGTACAAACCAGTATGAACCGGTATGGACCGGTATGGACCGGTATGGACTGCTATAAACCAGTAAAAACCAGTATGGACTGGGATAAACAGTATGGACCAATACGGACCAGTATGGACCAGAAAAAAACCAGTATAAACCAGTATAGACCAGTACGGACCAATCCCATTTTTAACCCTAAAATTCGCATTTTTCACCCAAAAATCGCCATTTTTAACCCTAAAATCTCCATTTTTCACCCTAAAAATCCTGGTTTTCTTCCTCCCAGTCCCTCCCAGTATAAACCAGTCCCTCCCAGTTTATCCCAGTCCCTCCCAGTCCCATTTTGAACCCTGAAAATGTCATTTTTAACCCTAAAATCCCCATTTTAACCTGAAAATCGCCGTTTTTTGCCCTAAAACTCCTGGTTTTTTTGCTCCCAGTATAAACCAGTATAACCCACTGTTTTCCAATCCCCTTTTTACCCTTAAAATCCCCATTTTTAACCCTAAAACTCCCGGGTTTTTTTCTCCCAGTTTGTCCCAGTCCCTCCCAGTACAAACCAGTTTATCCCAGTATAAACCAGTCCCATTTTGAACCCTGAAAATGTCATTTTTAACCCCAAAATTGCCATTTTTACCCTAAATTCCTCATTTTTTACCCTAAAATCCCCATTTTTTGCCCTAAAACCCCCGTTTTTTTTGCTCCCAGTCCCTCCCAGTCCGTCCCAGTTCATCCCAGTATAACCCAGTTTGCCCCAGTCACCGGTAGACGCCGCCCACCACGGCGTGGTCCCTCTCGTAGGGCTCCAGTGCCCTCCCAGTACAAACCAGTATAAACCAGTTCAGCCCAGTGCCCTTCTTAACCCCAAAATCCCCATTTTTAACCCGAAAATCCCCATTTTTTGCCCTAAAATCGCTGGGGTTTTTGCTCCCAGTCCCTCCCAGTATAAACCAGTTTGTCCCAGTCCCCTCCCAGTTTATCCCAGTCCCTCCCAATCCCATTTTTCATCCTAAAATCCCCATTTTTAACCCTAAAATCCCCATTTTTATCCTGAAAATCTCCATTTTTCGCTCTAAAACTCCCGGGTCTTTTCCTCCCAGTTTGTCCCAGTCCCTCCCAGTATAAACCAGTATAACCCAGTTTGTCCCAGTCCCCTCTCAGTTTATCCCAGTCCCATTTTGATCCCCGAAAATGTCACTTTTAACTCTAAAATCCTCATTTTTAACCCTAAAATCCCCATTTTTCACCCTAAAATCCCCGTTTTTTTTGCTCCCAGTCCCTCCCAGTATAAACCAGTCCCTCCCAGTATAAACCAGTATAACCCAGTGCTTTCCAATCCCCTTTTTACCCTTAAAATTGCCATTTTTAACCCTAAAATCGCCCTTTTTCACCTGAAAATCCCAATTTTTAACCCTAAAATCCCCATTTTTTGCCCGAAAACTCCCGGGTTTTTTCCTCCCAGTTCATCCCAGTCCCTCCCAGTATAAACCAGTATAACCCAGTCCCATTTTCATTTCCGAAATTGTCATTTTTAACCCTAAAATTGCCGGTTTTAACCCTAAAATCTCCATTTTTCGCCCCAAAACCCCTGGGGTTTTTTGCTTCTAGTCCCTCCCAGTATAAACCAGTTTGTCCCAGTCCCATTTTGATCCCTGAAAATGTCATTTTCAACCCCAAAATTGCCGTTTTTAACCCTAAAATCTCCATTTTTCACCCTAAAACTCCCGGGTTTTTTCCTCCCAGTATAAACCAGTCCCTCCCAGTATAACCCAGTTCATCCCAGTCCCTCCCAGTTTATCCCAGTATAAACCAGTCCCATTTTTCATCCTAAAATCCCCATTTTTAACCCTAAAATCCCCATTTTTTGCCCCAAAACTCCTGGGTTTTTTCCTCCCAGTTTGTCCCAGTCCCTCCCAGTATAAACCAGTATAACCCAGTCCCATTTTCATTTCTGAAATTGTCATTTTTAACCCTAAAATTGCCAGTTTTAACCCTAAAATCTCCATTTTTCAGCCCAAAACCCCTGGTTTTTTTTGCTTCTAGTCCCTCCCAGTATAAACCAGTTTGTCCCAGTGCCCTTCTTAACCCTAAAATCCCCATTTTTAACCCTAAAATCCCCATTTTTCGCCCTAAAACTCCCGTTTTTTTTGCTCCCAGTCCCTCCCAGTATGACCCAGTTTGTCCCAGTCCCCTCCCAGTTTATCCCAGTCCCTCCCAGTCCCATTTTTCATCCTAAAATCCCCATTTTTAACCCCAAAATTGCCATTTTTAACCCCAAAAATCCCCATTTTGAACCCTAAAATCCCCATTTTTCACCCTAAAACTCCCATTTTTTTTCCTCCCAGTCCCTCCCAGTTTGTCCCAGTTCATCCCAGTCCCTCCCAGTTTGTCCCAGTTTGCCCCAGTCACCGGTAGACGCCGACCACCACGGCGTGGTCCCTCTCGTAGGGCTCCAGCGTCAGCTGCTCCTGCGGCTTCATCCTCTCGGCCGTCATCTTCCTCACCTCCCCCGCGAACACCGCCTCGGCCGGCGCCGTCGAGTCGATGCAGTTCGCCTGCAAACCGGTTCGGACCGGTCAAAACCAGTTAGGGACCGGTCAAAACCAGTTAGAGACCAGTTTGGACCAGTTAAAAACCAGTTCGGACCGGTTAGAGACCAGCAAAAACCAGTTCAGAGCAGTTAGAAACCAGTCAAAACCAGTTAGGAACCAGTAAAAATCAGTTTGAAACCGGTTAGGAACCACTTAGGAACCAGTTAGAACCAGTTTGGACCGGTAAAAAACAGTAAAAAACAGTTAGAAACCAGTAAAAACCAGTTAAAAACAGTTAGAAACCAGTTAGAAACCGGTGAAAACCAGTAAAAACCAGTTAGAGACCGGTCAAAACCAGTAAAAACCAGTTAGGAACCAGTAAAAACCAGTTAGAAGCCAGTGAAAACCAGTAAAAACCAGTTAGAGACCAGTCAAAACCAGTTAGAACCAGTTTGGACCGGTCAAAACCAGTAAAAAACAGTTAGAAACCGGTCAAAACCAGTTAGAAACCAGGAAAAACCAGTTTGGAATAATTAAAAACCAGTAAAAACCAGTCTGGAGCAGTTAAAAAGCAGTTTGGACCGGTTAAAAACCAGTAAAAACCAGTTTGGAGCAGTCAGGAACCAGCAAAAACCAGTTTGGACCGGTTAGGAACCAGTAAAAACCAGTTAGAAGCCAGTCAAAACCAGTTAGAGACCAGTTAGAACCAGTTTGGACCGGTAAAAACCAGTAAAAACCAGTTAGAAACTGATGAAAACCAGTTAGAGACTGGTCAAAACCAGTCAGAGACCAGTCAAAACCAGTTAGGGACCAGTTAGGAACCACTTAAAACCAGTTTGGAATGGTTAGAAACCAGTAAAAACCAGTTAGGAACCAGTCAGAAACCAGTAAAAACCGGTCAAAACCAGTTAGGGACCAGTAAAAACCAGTTTGGACCGGTTAGAAACCAGTTAGGAACCAGCAAAAAACAGTTAGAGACCGGTGAAAACCAGTTAGGGACCAGTAAAAACCAGTTAGAAACCAGTTAGAACCAGTTTGGAGCAGTTAGAAACCAGTTCGGACCAGTTAGAAAACAGTAAAAACCAGTTAGAAACCGGTCAAAACCAGTTAGAACCCAGTTTGGAGCAGCTAGAAACCAGTTTGGAGCAGTTAGAAACCAGTTTGGAGCAGTTAGAAGCCAGTTTGGACCAGTTCGGACGGGCTAGAAACCAGTTTGGACTGGTCAGGAACCAGTATAAACCAGTTAGAGACCAGTTCGGACTAGTTAGGAACCAGTTTGGACGGATCACTAACGGGTAAAAACCAGTTAGAACTGGTTAAAAGCCAGTTAGAACCAGTAAAAAACCAGTTTGGACCGGTTAGAAACCAGTTTGGACCAGTTAAAGAACAGTAAAAACCAGTTCGTACCGGTTAAAAAACAGTAAAAATCAGTTCAGACTGGTTAAAACCCAGTAAAAACCAGTTTGGACCGGTTAGAGACCAGTTAGAAACCAGTTTGGACCGGTTAGAAACCAGTTTGGACCGGTTAGAAACCAGTTTGGACCGGTTAGAGACCAGTTTGGAGCAGTTAGAAACCAGTTTGGAGCAGTTAGGAACCAGTTTGGACCGGTTAAAAACCAGTTAGAGACCAGTCAAAACCAGTTAGAGACCAGTAAAAACCAGTTTGGAGCAGTCAGGAACCAGGAAAAACCAGTTAGGGACCGGTCAAAACCAGTCAAAACCAGTAAAAACCAGTTAGGGACCGGTCACAACCAGTTAGAACCAGTTTGGAGCAGTCAGAAACCAGTTTGGACCAGCTAGAAACCAGTAAAAACCAGTTCAGACCGGTCAGAGACCAGTAAAAACCAGTTTGGACTGGTTAGGAACCAGTAAAAACCAGCTCGGACCGGTTAAAACCAGTTAGGGACCGGTGAAAACCAGTTAGGGACCAGTAAAAACCACTTAAAACCAGTTTGGAATGGTTAGAAACCAGTAAAAACCAGTTAGGAACCAGTCAGAAACCAGTAAAAACCGGTCAAAACCAGTTAGGGACCAGTAAAAACCAGTTTGGACTGGTTAGGAACCAGTAAAAACCAGTTCGGACCAGTTAAAACCAGCTAGGGACCGGTGAAAACCAGTTAGGGACCAGTTCGGACCAGTAAAAAACAGTAAAAAACAGTAAAAAACCAGTTAAAAACTGCTGAAAACCAGTAAAAACCAGTTAGAGACCGGTCAAAACCAGTAAAAACCAGTTAGGGATCAGTAAAAACCAGTTAGAAACCGGTGAAAACCAGTTAAGGACCAGTTAGAACCAGTTTGGACCGGTAAAAACCAGTTAGAGACCCGTTAGAGACCGGTTTGGACCAGTAAAAACCAGTAAAAACTAGTTAGAAACCAGTTAGAACCAGTTTGGAACAGTTAAAAACCAGTAAAAACCAGTCAGGAGCAGTCAGAAACCAGCAAAAACCAGTTTGGACCGGTTAGAAACCAGTAAAAACCAGTTTGGACTGGTTAGGAACGAGTAAAAACCAGTTTGGACCGGTTAGAAACCAGTAAAAACCAGTTTGGACTGGTCAGACACCAGTCTGGAGCAGTTAGAAACCAGTTAGAGACCGGTCAAAACCAGTTAGGAACCAGTTAGAAACCAGTAAAAACCAGTAAAAACCACTTTGGACCAGTTAGGAACCAGTAACAACCAGTTTGGAGCAGTCAGGAACCAGTTTGGACTGGTTAGAAACCAATTAGAACCAGTTTGGACTGGTTAGAGACCAGTAAAAACCAGTTTGGAGCTGTTAAAAATCGGTTTGGACCAGTTAGAGACCAGTTTGGAGTGGTGAAAAACCAGTAAAGACCAGTTTGGACCGGTTAGAAACCAGTTTGCAGCAGTCAGGAACCAGTAAAAACCAGTTTAGACCAGTTAAAAACCAGTAAAAACCAGTTTGGAGCAGTCAGGAACCAGTAAAAACCAGTTTAGACCAGTTAAAAACCAGTAAAAACCAGTTTAGACCAGTTAAAAACCAGTTTAAAGCATTTAGAGCCAGTAAAAACCAGTTAGGAACCAGTTTGGAGGAGTTAGAAACCAGTTTGGACCAGTCAGGAAGCAGTTTCAACCAGTTAAAAACCAGTTTGGACCGGTTAGAGACCGGTTAGAAACCAGTTTGGACTGGTTAGGAACGAGTAAAAACCAGTTTGGACCGGTTAGAAACCAGTAAAAACCAGTTTGGAGCAGTCAGGAACCAGTAAAAACCAGTTTGGACCAGTTCGGACTGGTTAGAAACCAGTTTGGACCAGTTTGGAGCAGTCAGGAGCCAGTTTGGACCGATCACAAAATGGTAAAAACCAGTTAGAACTGGTTACAAGCCAGTTAGAACCAGTAAAAACCAGTTATAACTGATTACAAACCAGTTTGGACCGGTTAGAAACCAGAAAAAACCAGTTTGGAGCAGTTAAAGACCAGTTAGAACCAGTTTAAAGGAATTAGAACCAGTAAAAAAGAGTTAGAAACCAGTTCGGACCAGTTAAAAACCAGTTTGGACCAGTTAGAGACCAGTTAGGAACCAGTAAAAACAAGTTCAGACCAGTTAGAAACCAGTAAAATCCAGTTAGGAACCAGTTAGAACCAGTTTGGAGCAGTTAAAAACCAGTTTGGAGCAGTCAGGAACCAGTCTGGACCGGTTAAAGACCAGTAAAAACCAGTTTGGAGCAGTTAAAAACCAGTAAAACCCAGTTTGGACCAGTCAGAAACCAGTTTAGAGCAGTCAGGAACCAGTAAAAACCAGTTAGAACCAGTAAAAACCAGTTAGAACTGATTAAAAACAAGTTTAAACCAGTTAGAAACCAGTTTGGACCGGTTAGAAACCAGTTTGGACCAGTTTGGAGCAGTCAGAAACCAGGAAAAAACAGTTAGAAACCAGTTTGGACCAGTTAAAAAGCTGTAAAAACCAGTTAGAAACCAGTTTGGACCAGTTAGGAACCGGTAAAAACCAGTTAGAGCTGGTTAAAAACCAGTTTGAACCAGTTAAAACCAGTCCTAACCAGTAAAAAAATCACTTTATGCTGATCCATACTGGTTTAAACTGGTTTATACTGGTCTAAACTGGTTTATACTGGTCTAAACTGGTCCATACTGGTCTAAACTGGTTTATACTGGTCTAAACTGGTTTAAACTGGTTTATACTGGTTTATACTGGTCCATACTGGTTTATACTGGTTTATACTGGTCTATACTGGTTTATACTGGTCCATACTGGTCCATACTGGTCCATACTGGTCTATACTGGTTTCCATACCTTGATGGAGATGAGGAAGTGCCCCCCGCAGCGCAGGAAGTGATG